AAAAAATCCGCTGCCCTGCCCTGCCCCCCAACAGCGGGCATCCCGCACAGGAAGGTCCCGCCCGCGCCCGCACCTGTGGGCAGCCGGGTGGAAGCTGGGCAGCCGGTCCAGGCACCAGCGCATGGCGGCGCAGCAGTCTGCCAGCAGGCAGCGCCAGTCGGCCACCGCCGCCTCCTCTGCTGCTGCTGCTGCTGCCGCTGGTGGCGTGGGCCGCTGTGCTGCCTGGCTGCCGCTGCGCAGGCTAGAGGCGGTGGCGGGCAGGAAGCAGTAGCTGCCCACCAGGCGCAGCAGCTGCCGCTCAGCTTCCGCCTCCGCCTCCGCCTCCGCCTCGCCAGCCTGGCCGTGCCGCCGCCCGCCGCGCTGCGTCTGCTGCTGCTCCCGCTGCTGCTGCGGAGCCGCCGCCGCCGCCGCCAGCTGCCCGCCGCCGCCGCCGCCGTCGTCGTTGTTGCTGCCAGACCAGCGGGCGGCGGCGGGCGCTGCCAGCAGCAGGCGCATGCGTGCCGCGTGCAGGGCGTAGAGCGGCAGCAGCACGCCGCCGCCGCCCTGCTCGCCGGCGGCGGCACGGCAGGCGCGCGCGTGCAGCGGCAGCCAGGCCGCCGCCGGCTGCTGCAGCTTGCGGGCACAGCGTGCGCGGGACAGCAGCACGTCCCAGCCCGCAGCCCCCTCCTCCGCCTCCTGCGCCGCCTCGGCTCGGTCAAAGGCGTGCAGGGCCTGGCTGCAGGCCAGGTGGAAAGCGCCGGCTGGGTCGCGCTTGGCGGCCTGCCAGGACGCGCCGCCGGCCAGCGGCTCCTGCCAGGGCAGGAGGCGGAGGGCATCCTCCAGCAGCCTGCAGGGGGCAGAGTGTGTGTGGGTGTGTCAGAGAGAGTGAATGTGAGGGAGTGTGTGCTCGTGTTGTGTGCGTGTGTAGAGAGAGAGAGAGAGAGAGAGAGAGTGTGTATGTGTGTGTGTTTATGTGTGTGTCGTGTGCGTGTGTGTGCGTGGCTCTGTGGGCTCCAAGCGCGTGGCACGCCAAGCAACCACTGACGCCGCACGGCAGGCTGGGGGGTAAGCAGCAGCAGGCAGCCGCGGTGTGGACGGCAGGCAGCCCGCGAGCGGCGGCGGCGGCGGCGGCAGCGCCCCCCCTGCTTGCCTGGAGCCCGTGGCTGTGAGCAGGCGCAGCCGCCGCTCCTCGCTGCCAGCGCACAGCCAGGCGCCGGCGGTGGCCCAGTAGGCCAGGCGCCGCCAGCGCCGCACCCTGCGCAGCCGTGCATGGGAAGAAACACGCTTGCCTTTGGCAGGTGCCCTCGGGATGGTGGGAAGGCAGGGGCAGCGCACGGGGCCAGGCAGGCAGGCAGGCAGGCAGCCACGCTTGTCCTTGCATCTGCCCGCGACTGCCTCGCAACGTGGGTGCTGCACCAATCTGATGCACCCATGGCGGTGAAGCACCACACAGCACAGCACAGCACAGCACAGCACAGCACAGCAGCACACCACCCGACCCAGCGCCGCACCACCCCGTACCGCCCTGTACCGCCCCGCACCTGCCGGGCAGCTCGCTGCTGTGCTTCCACTCCCGGTGCGTCATCGCCCCGCTGGCCTCGTTCTGCGGGGGAGGTTGGCCGGGCGGGGGTGGCGGTGGCGGTGGAGGAGGCGCGTGTGTGTGTGTGTGAGTGTGCTTAAGCGGATCAGCGTGGAGCAGGAGCACCCAGCACCCAACACAACCCGACAGCAGCCAGCAGTCCCTCCCTCCCCACCCCCCACCCCACCCCAACCCACCAGCAGGTCGTCGGCTGCGGCGTGGTAGTCCACAGCCAGGCGCTCCCAGGAGGCGAAGCGGGCGGGGCTCCAACACAGGTCCAGCTTGGCGGCAGCCAGCGCCGCGTCCACGCCCGCCTCGGCGCCGGGGCCCAGCAGGCCGTCGCCGCCTGCTGCTGCTGCGGGGGCCTGGAAGCGGGCGGGGGCGGCAGGGGCGGGGATGCCCAGATGGGTGCGTGCGTGCGTGCTGGCTGGCGTGTGGGTGGGGAGGTGGGCGAGGTGCACGCCGTGCTGGGGTGGCGAGCAACGGCTGTGGCTGGCGCGCAGCCCGGCTGCGGCCTGCGCTGTTGCTATGCCCCCAGATGCGGAGCTTGTCCCCAGGCAAGGCCGCGGAAGAAAGAAAACAAGGCGCGGCGCCAACCGCCCACCTCCTCATCCTGCAGCGCCGCCAGCAGGTGGAACAGGCTGCGGTACACGTGGCCGTACCGCTCCTCGTCGTCGTCCCGTACCGCCTGCGCCGCCGCCGCATCCACCGCACCGCCCTCGCCCAGCGCCGGGCCGGGGCCATCTACCGCCATCGGCTCCGGACCAGCTGGCGCCTGCCGCCAGCTGGCGTCCTGCTGCTGACCTGGCACCCCCTGGCTTTCCGCCAGCTGCAGCAGGCGCTGCATGGGGTCGCCGCCCGCATCCAGCGGCGCATCCAGCTGGGGGCAGGGCAGCAGCGGCGCGTCGGCGTGG